GTAGATGCAACAAATAATCACCATATACAGAATGTTTTTATTGTTATTGTAATATAAATAAATTTTTTTCAAAGTCCTTTCAGTTTTAATGAATATTTAGTAGTCAAAATTTTTATATATTGCTTATGACAACATTGAATCTATATATATATATATATTTATATATATATATATATAAAGAAAATTTAAATTCACGAACAATATTTATTTATCGGATGAAAATATTTTGTATTTTGAATGAGTCCCTCTTATGAGAAAATATATAAACTATATTATCCATTATTATATGCATATGAAAATAGACATAATATACCGATTATTTATATATATGTATTTTCATATAAATGTAAGGATTTAGAAACTCAGGATCCTCTCATTCTTATTGTGATGTGATTACAAGGAAAAATAATAATAGAAAAATTACTTAAAGTCTGTTTTTTTAAATATACAGCGGTTGTAGACTGTTGTTAACAAGGATAATCATATATATAAAATATATATAAATAATATAAACAGCAGATTTTAAATCAATTGTAACGGATGGGTTTCTTTTGTACATGTCTTGATATTCAAAGAAAGCACCATATTCTATACAGTAATTATTTTGAAATTTACAATAATTTTCTATCCCTTTTCTTATTCAAAAATAATTAAATTCTATTTAACTAAAAAGTTGATATATTTTTTTTATGCAGAATGTAAATCATTATTAAAATTTTCCTTACATACCAATTTGGGATGATGTTCATCTTAGGGATTTAAATGTCTATTTTTGCTTATGCCTTATTTTGCCATTTCAATAGATGTGTTTGAATACAGACCTGATAAAAACTAGTTTGTGTTGATTTGTTTTTTAGTATTTAATATGAAGGATTTATTTATTTATTTTTACCTTAAATTTATCATTTTCTGCTCATTATATTATTTGAAAATTACTAAATATTGTAAATTGTTATAAAGTTGTTATCATGTAAATATAAAATTTTATTTTATTCATTTAGGACATCAATATTTAAGTTCTAATATAATTTGGGAAACGAAAATCAAAACAATGTGATGAAAATATGGTTAAAAATGGACAAAAATATGTGGACGATGAAAATTATAAAATTTTGTTTATGCTTTTTTTACAAAACGTTAAAATTTAACTATTTATTAAAAAAATATAAATTAATAAAAAAAATATTACCATGCAACACTGTTTTCTCTAAATGGTTACATTTTAAATATATATATATATATATATATATATAAAAATATAAAATGAATAATGAAAAGGAAATAAAATTATATATATTACATAAATATAAAAAAATTGTCAAAAAAAAAGAAAAATAAAGATGTAACGGAATGTTGTTTAATGTTTTATTTATTACATTCTAAAATAAGCACACTAGCACAGATGAACACACACACACAAATGAATATTTGACACACCTTGTGACGCACATATCAAACGGAAATTCTTAAATTTTAAAATTTTAATTATTATATATATATGAATATATATATATATATAATATATATATATATATATGTTTGAAAGAAAATAAAAAAAAAAAATTTACTTGCTATAGATATGTAACTTCTATGTTCACAATTCATATTTTATTTTATAAAATTTCACTATGTAAATTTAATTGGTTGTATTATAAACAAAATGTGCAGGTAACATAAAATCAGCATGGAAAATAGAATCAGTGTTGAATTTTGAGCTTTACCTACTACATTTATTTAAAAACAATAAAATTTTTAAAATACCATATTCCCAAAATCGACTTGGAGTTAACTAGAGGGCAACTGCTTTTAATTTAACCACTATAATTAAACCAAACCAGAGAAAAGGTTTAAACATGTTAATTCACTATCTTTTCTCAAAAATCATAGCAGCATCTATAAATACAAAAAAAAGAGTTGTGGAGAGCCATGATATATATAAAATATATAAAAATAAAAATTTATAAATTGATATATATGATATGTTTAAAGTATGAAAAGGGTTTTTAGAAAACAAAAAAAACAAAAGTAATTAGTAAAAAAGTGCATTTTTGTTTCGATGCGCTGGCATCTATGATTAAAGGAAATATTTATATATATGGCATATTTTAAGGTGTGTGGAAATAGATAAAGGATAAATATGCAATATATCTTAGATGTCATTTTACTATTGAAAAGCACATTTTTTCTTTGAAGAAAATAAGGTGATATATATATATATATATATATAATAGGATATATTTTATATATAACAGGTATTGATTTATTTAAGGGGCTTTTTGCCAAATCACAGTTCACCATGTTTCAAAAATTAGAAAGATTGGAATTGAATTAGAGATTTTTGCAGGAGATTGTTTTATGAACCAACTCTGATGAGAGAGAAGAGAGACTTTTATAAAAAAAGAGAAATATATCTTAGACTTATAGACTGACTTTCTTTTAAAGAATATATAGAGAGATTTTAGAGATAGAGAGAGATTAAGCCACATTGCAGTATATATTAAATACATATTTGAATTATTTATATATAGTTCAGGAATAAATGAGAAAATTCAAAGGATTTTAACATGAAATAATTCACTCCAGCTCTTGGATTTTCAAACCATGTGAAGGTTTTGGTTTAAACCATTTTTTATTTACCAATGGCCATTTTCAATATCCATTTAAACAATCAATCTTTACAGTTTTCTATTTGTTGACACCTGTCATAGTTTGAACATAGATTACCAGTCAAACTTAAAGTGATCCCATTTTGAATTGCCTTATAACATATGAATTCTAGAGGATTTCCATTTTAATTTCTGACATCAGATTTTTTACGGTTATTTCAAAAAAATTTTATATTTCTCATATTCTCAATACTTTTGAACTGATGAAATTGCTTTAACATTTAAATTTCATCAAACAATTGTCAATTATTGACTGCTTTGAAGGAGGACATATTAAACAAACAGTCATTATTGTTTGTATCGGTAACGAGTTTTATTACATATATTGTCATTATTGATAAATATTTCTATGACTTTTGTTAAAAGTGGCAACCTGTTTGGAAAAACAAAAATGACCAAAATTGTTTTGATTGTTTTTTCATATGTGAGAATGTGTGATTTTAGAGTACATGGAATGGGTTTTATTTCCTATCATCATTCAAACTAGAGCATCAATGGAAAAACAACAACAACAGTTCATCACTTTGTTTAGAATAACCAATTACACCACAATACATCAACTTTTTTGGGTTGTTTACAAAACCATGAAAAAAAAACTCAAAACGTTCTGGCAATCAGATGCTCCAACACAGGAACTTGAGTAAATTTCAGATGAATCTAGACAAAGGATAATCAGACAAGACATCGTAGAAGAAAGGCAATTATTCTGATGAACTGTCCTGTATGGTAGGTGAAATTTATTAAGAAATGCACAGAAACTATATTAGCGAACATGCAAGTCTTGTCAAAGTATTTTTGAAATGACGTTCGATAAATTTTGATGATGCAAACTACTAGTTTCTTCTATCATACGAGCCTATTATTAACTTTTCCCAGCTTTAAAATTTAAAGTCCAATTATTATCTTCGTTTTTTAATTTTATTCTTTTATTGTCCTTCTCCTTAATAGTAGTTTTTCTTAAAATTCTAACATTCATTAATTTGATATTTAAATGTTTTGATATTCTAATAAAGGAAGATAACATCCAGGATACTTGATGAATTAGAAATGAATTCAAATTAACTTTTGTTCCAGAAAATAGTGGAAGAATGTCAACATATCGTGAATTTGAATCACTCTACTGCAAGAATTGAGGAAAAAGACAGTTCACAGGTACATAGTGTCTGACCAACTAAGAGAAGAAACTACAAACGTTTTTCAACTCCTAGCAGAACAGTAAAAAAAAAAAAAGACTGTAGACAGATCATTGTCCATGTATGAATCAAAAAAGGGTTTTCCTAATACAAAGAATAGGATTATTAATAGTTATGACATGCTCCTATAGAATGGAAAAGTGTCAAGAAGACACTTGAATTTGAAGACAGGCCATTCCATTATTGAAGATAGTGAATCACATGGACCATAGAGGAATAATATACAGAAGTTGTGTGAAATCTATGTGATCGCTTTTCTTAATCTATCCTTTATACTATATGGATCTCTATTTCTTTTATAAATCTCTATTAATATTTGAAAATATTTCTACTCTATTCACTATACTATTTCTCTATTTGGATCACTATACTTATATACTAATATTGAGTGAATATTAATACCAATGACTATTAGTGTGAGATTATTCAAATATGTCTGACACCAGTATTATTTGAATAAAAATACTAAATAGTTGTATCTGTGATTAGAAAGTCTCTACTACAACGAGTAAGTCAAAAGTTATAAGTATTTGTTGGCATTATGAAAGTAGCAACGTGTGTTCATTGGCATCGTAAAAGAATACATATAATAAATATGACAATGTTTGTTTTTTTTGTTTTTTTTTCAGAGTTTTTTCACTCTTAAAACTTTTTCCTTTAGTCACTTTAAAAAAACATCCCAAATTGAAGATATATGTTATTTGGACTTCTGCCTATAAAAGAGGATCTTGGGTTGGTTTTGCAGTCAGTCCCTCATGAGATTGAAATCAACAATCCTGAATAGAGAAAGCAACTCTAAATTCAATAAGAAACCACTTCCCTATCTTTCCAAAGAAGTTGTGGCAATTCGCAGATAATAAAGAAAAGGAATATGTGGAGAGTCATGATCTCCTAAATCCTAAAGGCATATGACATTAAAAAAATACAGCAAAGTATTTTGAATTTAAAAGAAGTTTTAATATAGAGGTTAAAGATAAACTTGTTTTCAAATCAAATTTTGGTGCTCAAATAAGACAGTTTTTATGCTTTGAATAATATGAGTTTTTATTTTCCAATTAATGAATGGTTAATTTTTGAAATTGTGTTTTATCTTTAAATATTTCATGTATTTTCAGTGGATGCATTTTTTTACCTCTTCAAAATGGATAAAAATGAAAGAAAGAAGATTCGGGAAATTATGTCCAAGTAAGTATATTTCAAATAGAAAATGGCTTACGGCTATATCACCTTAAAACAGTGATTCTCATATGATCACCAAAGTTAAGCAAGGTTGAGCTGGTCCAGTACCTAGATGAGTAACCACTTGGGAATACCAGGTACTGTAAGCTTGGATGTGTGAGTGGTGCACTGGTTCTGAATAGGAAATCAGAGTTTGTTATATTTCCATACGCACAAATACCTTGGGAAAGGTATGAATCCACTTCTTCACTTTCAACAGCTATGAGTTAATTAGTGTAGCTGTCACACCAAAAAGAACCTGCTGGAACAGGGCAGTCGTCTCTCATAGTCCTCGTTGGCTACCTCGCCCCCACTGCCAAACTTTTCAGACACACTCATTTTATAGACCATGATGAATTGGTTGAGTGGGAGAGTTTTACATGTGTGTAAGTGCACTCCATTAATTTCCTTTCTACCAATTGCTCTCTGACACACCATATGCAGGCAATGCATGGGCATTTTCAGGCATGATGTCGCATATCTTGCTCACAACATTCACACTCCTCCCTGATCTGAAGATCACACAAATGGCAGTGTGGTGTGGGTTATTTATCTTGCTACTTTGTGTCAGTGGAGCATGTTCGGCTATTTCCTCAGTTGTACTTTCCTCTGCCATATCGCTGAATTGATCTTGTTCGAAGATGCCACTTGCACTTTCCATTGAAGCTGTGTCTTCCTGCATCTGCCCCTCATACACCATAGAGATTTCTTCATCTGAGGTGGTATCTGGTAGTCTCCACCCCATGCACCGGGCAAACATCTTTTACGTGGCATGGTACTCCATTTACAAGGACTGAATGAGGGCCATACACTTTCATCACTTTCCCCTTCTTGAATCTTGTTGTACACTGTCCATGCGATCTCTTTACCCAAACAACATCTCCTGTGGTGTCTGTTCCAGAACCTGCGACGTCAGGCAGTGGTGTGGTATCAATGCCCTTCACACGAGTGTGGTAGGTATAAATTAAGTTGGCTGGCGCTGTTGAAGCAGTTGTGTTGTCCTGTGGGTCACATTATGCCAGTATACTGCCTCTATAAGAGAGCATTGTGTTCTCGCGGTGATGCACTTTATCGTGTGGTGGGATCTTTCTACTATCCCATTCCCCAATGGTACATGGGCGCATTGGTATCTTATCCAGACATGCCATTCCTTTGCATATACGAGCAGACTCCTTGCCTTCTGCAGCCACAGTGCATGCCCGTTCTACAGGTTCTGTCTCTTTCTGAATATCATCCAGTCATCGCTGTGGCACTCTAGTGAGCTGATCAACCCAGTTATCCTGAGACTTAACAAATGCCATGTCAATCTTCAGCTCATATTCTGAGGCCAGATGTTGAAGCATGATGAGCTGGCGCCTGACTAGCATCTCGGTGGCAGCCTTGGTTCATACCCTCAACTCTCTGGACAACGTGTCTGAGACCCAGCGATGCAAGCATGCTGAGTCTGTCTTCAGGTGAATCACCTTTGCTTTCCACTGCAGTGCGAGGTTGATGCCCCACAGCACTGCGTTGAGTTCTGCCAAGCTCATGTGCTTATCCTCACTCATTGGTTGCAGCCAACTAGCATCTTCAGTCACAGCTCCACCATTTTCAATGATGACACCAGTGGCTAATGAGTTTGCGTCCACATCATACAGTGACGTCCTGTCCATCAATGCGCCTGTCCCCATGCGCTGGATCTGTTTGTGCCACTCTGGTGAAAACATCTGCCAACATCTGGCTCAGGCAGGGGTCTCGTATTTTATCAGCCCATCCAGTTGTCATAGCATTTGCTCTACACTTTATGAATGCAGTGGCAACATGTAGCCAGCTGCACACCGGAAAATGTCTTGTCAATTTCCCACACACAGAGAAAATATTTATATAGTACATTGGACAACGTCAGCAGCTTACTTCCACAACTCCACTGGAGATTTTTGTGCTCCTCTCAGACGTGCAATCCTAACACGCGTGTGCCACCCTGTAACTGATCTGGGGCATTACATGTAAGCCCAAACCTCTCAAAGTGCTTTTTTACAGGTCATATATTCTTATTGACGATGTAGTCGTCAATGTATGAAGATGTAGCTTCCTTGATGTTCTCATCAGGCTCAACCATGGTGTTAATGATGGACTGCATTATCAGGGGTGCCATGTTAAGCTCGAATGAGGCAGATTTCTACTGTCTGAAATGGCCACAAGGACTTCTCAACATGAACTTGCAAATAGGCCTGGCGCAAGTCCAACACAGCAACGTCTGAACCTTGCTGCCAACACTCTCTTAATTTGTGTGCATATACATCTGCACTAGCAGTGTATACATCTACATGCTCATTGAGCTCGGGGTAGTCCATGATGATCATTAGAGGAATCAAACCCTTTGGGGACTCAAGCTCGTCTTCAGGGTATGGAAGCAGCTGGCTGTTTTGTATCCAAGTTTGCAGCTCTCGGTTGTACTCAGCTTGAAGGTACGCAGGAGTAGGATATTCTGACAGCCTGTTTTTTAACGTAACTGGTGGCTGGGCACTGGACCACTTCCATGATGCGATCCATCTGTTAGTGTCAAACTCTGCTTGGAAATCGGGCTTGATGACTGACAGTGCAGATTGGTTTGTGACATTGGGGAAATTTTACCTCACAGTGCTAGTCATAGACATCTCACCCAGCTGTTTGATTGCATCCAGCCCAAGCAACAAGCCAAATCCAAGTAATTCCTCATCCACAACCAGACCTTCTATGTCAACAGAGGGTCTGTGGCTTGTGCCAAGGCAGACAACCCCCGACTCCATAGCACCTAAGGGCATTCCCGCCTACAGTCAGGATGTGTACCTCCTTTCTCTCCCATGCCTAGCAGCATGCTTTAAGAGCTATGCGCCTCATTCCATCAAGCTGCACAGTCATTGTAGATAGAACTTTATTTAAAGGGGATCTGGGGAAAAGGCTGGCGCCGAAGCCTCGTCCCTTTGCCCATTTCCCCAGACAGCTTTGGGCCATATGTCCCCACCACTTGCACTGATAGCATGAGGCCAGTCTTCGGTGTCCAGCATTCTTTTTCCTTGATGTTTCACGCCACGAGAGACAGTCACATGCCAAGTGATTGGGCTCACCGCAAGCATAGCATTTTATTGGTACATCAACTTCCTTCACTTGACAACATGATGATCATGCAGCTGCTGCTGCTTGCTCAATATCTGCAGGACTTTTCTTCAGTATGGCGTGTGCTTGAGCTATCACTTGTGAAATGTCCATATCGTCTAACTGGGAAGAGGCTCAGAGCAATTCTTTGGCATGCTACGGCACACATCAGACTATCCATCATACCACTGACCAGAACTGAAAGTTTAAGTAATTCAGCCAAAAAGACATCAACAGTCTCACCCGGGCACAAGCGGTGTGCTACAAATTGCTTCCAAGCTGTAATGGAGTCCATAGCAAATGCCGTATACAAAGCATTTTTGATGCAGGTAAAGTCTTTCTTCTTTTCTTTGCTCAGCTGCTGGTACACTGCATATGCACCACCCGATAGATGCATAGGAACCACACATTCAATACGCTTTATGCCGCTAAGCTATATCAATTCTGCCTTTTTTATCCACTTGATAACTGACTGTTCAGTATCACTTCCATCAAATAGCAGTATCAGTTTAGGATCAAAAGTTATAATTGCCAAAATAGCTTGTAGCCATCATGCCAAAAAGGACCTGCTGGAATAGGGCAGTCATTTCTTGGCGTCTTTGTTGGCTCCCTTGGCCCCCACTGCCAAAGCCTTCAGAAACACTCGTTTTATAGACCATGACGAAGCAGCCAATTGGTTGAGCGGGAGAGTTTTACATATGGGTAGGCACTCTCCATTAATTTTCTTTTTTAAATGATCTGTGACACTATATGTATGCAATGCATGGGCGTTTTGGGGCATGATGTCGTGTATCTTGCTCATGACAATCACAATTAGTAGGACTTGTATCAGTAAATAATTGTTATATATAAAACATTCTTACACTCTAAAAATATTTTCTGGTTTTAAATAACCTGCAAAAGGTTGATAAGCTGCAAAAAAAACAAAACAAATGAATTCAATTACTTTATATATTAGAGTTCAAGTTTCATTGAAAGCTAATTCTTTACTTTCATGATGTTTAATGAGTTTTGTGATAAAAAGCAAAAAACTTGTGATAATAATTATAATAGTCAATTATTTTATTCTCATAATTTTCACCTCTTACTTTCACCTCTTTCACTCATGTCCCATTTCATTCATCATAACCATTTTAACAGTAACTTTGTCTTGAGTGGCTCTTGACCCTTGTATTAGGCAACTATAGTGTTAAGAAAACTGATCTCTCCTCTGGTATAGCTTTAACAATTTAATGGAGGAAAATGAGGCTGGTCATATTCAATACCTCAAAAACCAAACTTATGTTCCATCATTACTTGAATTTCAGTCTATCAAAATGAACAAGCATTCTCTCAAGAAGATCCCTTGTCTTGAACACCTATTGGAACTTAAGCTCCACCCCAGACATCAAGTAGAATTTATATATATATGCTCCATCACTCAAGATACTCGAAAAATTGTCAGTTTCCCATACCTGACTCCTCCTGCTATGCTCTATCTTTACAGGAGCCAGATCAGGCTGAAAATGGAGTACTACTGTTATATATCAGCTGGTGCTGCCCAGTCTTCACTTTCCAAAAGCCTCTACATGGCTTTGTGCGTGATGAATTGTTTTCCACCTTAGAATCTTTCCCCACAGACAAAACAATGCAAGCCTCTCACTTCTCTATTGCTATTTCCATGGAAATTCTTAAAACAACCTACATTCCTTAGTTCCCCTTGACTCTAACCCTCCCATCTAAAACCGGCTACACTGTGTACATAGAGATGAACCAGCCTCCTTCCCTTCGTATTCCTTTAATAACTGTTCCACTTTGATAGCTTCTTCTGAAAAACTGTTGTGTTGTGGAACAGAATCCCAAGACAAACAAAAAATACAAACACATTTTAAAAATATGAATAAAGAAATTGCACAATTGGTAATTGGACAACAATAGTCCAAATGTAAATTTTGTAAATAATTAAATAATGATAACTCCTCATCCCAGAGATTCAGACAGAATCTTCAAGAAGCTTTGTGTAAGAAGACTTTTAGAATTCCTTCTCCAAAGTTTATGTATGTACTATTTATTTTTCAGATTAAAAGAATATTTAATAACAACCTTGTCATAATGCAAATAACATGAGGACATATTGCATTTGATCCTTTGGTTGCTATATGAAATCTTATTATTAGTATCTGATATTTGTTATCTGAAGACCCAATAAGTAACAGTTTAAAATTTAGCCCATTTGCAGCATTTTTCTTGCAGTCAAAAAAGTAGCTCCACAATACTGTTATTCCACTAATACTAGAAGTGTTATTTTTCGTTGATCTCATCCATTGCAAAATTCATAAAAAAACAAAACAAAATCTCAAATATACTCAAATTTTACTTTAAGACATTATCTTTTATTTAAATCTTATCCCATCATTCCATTAAAAGAAAGGCTGTGAATGGTTTTGCTATATGAAATCTGTTATGATTAGTATCTGATCTCCTTGATTTTGAAGTTTCAGACTTAAAGAATATAGTAAAGTAGTGATCTGAAATATTGGGTTTACAGGTTCAAAAGGTTCTTAATTAATTTGAATATGACAATATCCTGTAACAATTTTTTTTTGTTCTGTAACTGTTCTGTTATTCTGTACCCTTATTTATATTTTATCAATTAATATTTCACTCAGCCTAAGTTTTTTAAAAATAATTTCAGAAAAGATGATTCTAAAATGAATTGGATGTACAAAGGCAGTCAGCCTGAAACAAATGAATATTTGCTGGGAAGAAAGATTGATAAATACATTGAGAAAGTGCCAGAACCCACCAAAGAAGGTAAGATTTGGATTTTCTTTTATTTGCTTACAGAAAATACATTTCTCTCTTTGCATTTATCATCATTTTCCTTAACTTCTTTTTTTGAAACCTCTGATTCAACCAACCTTGGTTTATTTTAAAATTTTTTTAAATTTAAAAGTCATTTTTATATTTTGGAAGATAAAAGTATTTTTATTAACAGTACTAATTTTATGGTTCAACCCTTCCTCATCACTACCAGGATGGATTATATTAACTTTTTAATGACTGCTATCCTAAAAGTGAGAGAATGGTCATTAATGGTTTATAGGTAGAAACCTATAATTCATCTTCTATGTGTTGCGTCATTTCAGGATGTAGGCGATCATAGCTCTCCACAACTTCCTATGTTTTGTAGTTCTTACTAAGGTTTGTCTTTCCACCATCACTCCCAATCCTTGTTCTGCCATCCATTTGAACAAACTCCTTTGCTGTGTTTCTCCTGCTTTCAATATGTCCTGTGAGTGCCAAATTCTTCAAGCCCTCTTTCCTCATTATTGTTTTAGAAATTTCAACTGCTTCTTTCTGATTTTAAGTAAAAGTCTCTATTTCCATTTTCCTTAAAACTTCCTTGGTATTCACATGTTCAGTCCATGATATTCCAACTTATTTCTATAGAACCATATTAATAGTGTATTTTTTAACCTTTAATTAATGCTGAATTTTTATTTTTATAATTAATGCTGGATTTTACGGTGGGGATTAATGAGTTGGGATTCTGTTTGTATTTTATTTAAAAAGAAAAAAAGAATTGTTAGGAAAAAATTTCATACTGAAGCTGAAAATAAACAGTTTTGAGGCTTTAGTGGCCTGCAGTGAGTAGTAGTCCACCTAAATACTCCTGTAAAACAAGTATCAGCAAATATATTTAACATAAAACAGACCTTAATTTGCAACTCAGTAATTGTGATGGTAAAGAGACTTTTAAAAAGTTTGAGATGTATGCTACATAGAAATATAAACAATTTTTTTAATTGTTTTTATTTCAATGGAACATTTCATTTGCAAATGTCTCTCAATATTTGTTTATGCATCAAGGCTTATGGCCACATAATGTTGAAACTCTGGTTCCTTCACAATCACCAAAGTTAAGCAACATTGAGCATAGCCAGTAACTAGATGAGTAACCACTTATACCAGGTGCTGTAAGCTTGGATTTGTGGGTGGTGTAATGGATAATGGCTCAGAATTGTTAATCGGAGAGCTGAGTTCCAATTCCAGTTGGGCTTGTTATATTCACTTATGAATAAATAACATTGGAAAAGGTAAAAATCCACCTATTCTTTCCCAGATATGGATTAAATAGTAAGATTTGTATCACTAAACCATTATTATCTCCTAAAATAAAATAAAATTGTGTACAAAATATTTGGATTTCAGCATTAAATAGAGGTAAAATATCATTGGCATCTTCTCACGTTTGAGCATTGGGATTGTCATCCTCTCTCCTTGTTCCTTTTCTCCCCTCTGGTGGCAGTGATGAAGATGGCTGTGAAGGCCACATCTAGTCCTGAAGAGGGATTAATATGCTGTTAAAAACCAACCAACCAATCTTATGCATCATGAAATAAGCTATTCTTCATTGGACAAAAATTTTTTTTTTTCATAATATTTGCAGAAAAATATGGTGCTGCATTCAGTGAGAGAATTAAAGCCAATATTGAATTAGACATGGCTGCCAAGATGAGAGAAGATCCTTTGTTCCAAATCAGGTACATTTTTTTATGAGTTAATGTTCCCTGTTCCAGTTGAAATTTGGATGCAATTAAATTTAATTAAATGCTTTTAAGAACTTATTTTGAATAGAACATTAAGTATTTGTAGTTAGTTTAAATCACATAAAAGTTATTTTCAATCACAAAAAATGCAGCACATCAATTCATAATTTAGTCATCGGATAATGTTGTGATACTGATCATCACTTCAATTTATCAGAGAATTTTATCAAACAAAAAAAAAATGTATAAATTTACTTGTATCATATGTTTAAGTTTTATTACAATTCTACTCATCACTTTTTAAAGTCATAAACGTTGCCAAAGAGTGAAGGTTGTTAAAATTATGTGGAAAAATAAGTGAAATTACCTGAGTATGTGGGCTTGCGGTCAGACGTGGGCAATGGAGTGTTCGACATGGCTTGCTTTTCAAAGCAAGGCCACTCCAAGCACTGGATTTTGTAATCTTTTAACAGAAGGGGTGGGATGTGCAGGTCTGCCACTTTGTTACTTAAGGCCTGCCTTTTCTCCCTTCTCTTTTTTTTCATGAGAGGGACTTTGAGAACGGTCGTTCTGTGGATTCTCTTCTTCTCACATTATTAATTGAACCTGACTGAATTTTGGGTTGTGAGACCAGGCAGTGTTTCACAACATTTACTGTACCAGACTGGCTTCTGATCTATCCTTTGAGTCAAAAGGAATTTTCAACAAATAATAGTGGTGGCAAGGGTAAAACTGTCTCTTTAACACTATATTTTTGCAAGCATGTAGGCCAAAGATTGACTATATTTTTCATTTCAGTTATCCACTTTCAAGACATTTTAATTCAAGTTTTAACTTTTGATAACCATGTATATTTTTGTATGTTACTCTTTATTAATAGAAGAAATGTTTAAAATATAAATAATCACATGAAAATAATATCAAGTAGCAAATATATTCTTATAGAAAATCTTACATCATGAAAACATTTATTTCTCAGTTTTTAGCAGAAGTAGCATTTGTCAGTAAAGTTACAAATTATTTAAAATAGAGAGAAAAAAGTCTTTCCTATATAAGGGGATGCTGAAATGTTCTTGAACTAACCAGCAAATCTTTTCAGGAAAAAAAAATCTGATTAGATCTAGGGAAAATGGATTGAGCTGAGAATTTTTCAGCATGACCTCATAAAAATAATTCATTTGGACTTTAGCTAATTAAGATATCTCTTTTAGAGATAAACTATTGCAATTCTTGATTAAAGAAATTTATTATATGCATGTTAAATATAAATTATACTTGTAAAAAATAGTGAATAAAAATAAATAGATGAGGCTAGAAAGAAAGATCGAGGAGATATTAAGGAAAGAAGGAAGAGTGAGGAGTTATTAAAAAAAAAGAGGGAAAAGATATTAAAAAGAAAGAGGGAGGAGATATTAAGAAAGGAAAAAAGAGCGAGGAGTTATTAAAAAAGAAAGAGGGAGGAGATATTAAAAAAAAGAAATAAAGGGTGAGGAGATGTTAAGAAAGAAACAAAGAGTGAGGAGATGTTAAGAAACAAAGAATGTTGAGGTACTAGGAAAAAAAGAAATAGCAAGGAGGTGTCAAGGAAGCAAAAGAAATGGTGAAGAGGGTGTCAAAAAGAAACAAATAGTGAGGAGGTGTCAAGAAAGAAAGACTTTGTAGCATCAGTTGGACAGTGGTTATTAAGTCTGGTCCTATTTCAATAACAGCGATGTGTGGAAACAAAGCAGACTAATAGGATAATTGTCAAAAGTTGTTAAACGTTGATTATATATTATTGTGCATCTTTGTTTTGTTTAGATATACAAACTTATTTTGATGTCTAATTGCTTTTAAAGGAAACGTGAAGAGGAGGCTCGTCGCCGGATCCTTGATAATCCAGTTAAAATGAAACAAATACAGAAAATGGTGTGTTTTTTTTCCTTTGTTTTCCTTATAGTTATTCAAGCTTTAGTTTCAAAGTTTTTTTTTTTTATTTTTTCTCAAACAATACTATCTGAAAACAGAATTTGATTTTAAAGCTTTAAATTTCTTCACATTCAGTTAAATATTCATTGTTTTTTTTTTTTTTTTTTTTTTTAGCTTTAAATACACAAACTCCCATTTTTCTTAAAAATAGAAGATATCTCTTATGAATCTAATGATGTGCATATAAAACAAAAGAAACATTAACATTATTCTGTCATTTTTGATTGGCACTATAATAATAATAATAATAATAATTATTATTATGTTGCTATTCACAATGTTTATTAATTTTTTTTACAGCTTATCAACCCTTTCTAGTTTATTTAAAGCTAAAACACATTTTGGACAGTAAGAATAATTCTTTTTTTTATGTGTGTGAATATTGTACTAACAATGTTTTGAGAATAATGGTTTCTCTAGCTACAAGTCCTACTATTTAACCCATAGCTGGGTGGAGAATATAGCTTCATACCTTTCTCTAGGTTATTTGTCTGTAAGTAAATGTAACAAACCTGAGTGGAATTTGGACTTGGCTCTTCCAATTTCTTATTTCAAGTGCTATCCACAATGAACATTGGAGATTTTGTGGATAGCAATGTAAAAATAATAATAATAGTAGTAGTAGTGATAGCAATAATAGATTTATTATATTTGATTTTTAATTGTAATAGATTTCATGTTTCCTTAAGTTATTTACAATTTCATGTTTTGTCTTCTTTCCTGTCAGATTAAGGAACAGAAAGAAGAACGTCAAAAAAGCAAAAGTAAGAAAAAGAAAAAAAACAAAACGCGTGATTATGATGATGATGATGATGATCAATCTGGAGACGAACTTGTGAAAACTTACCTGAGCATCATCAGTAAAAAACACCAGGATAAACATGATGGGGACAAAAAACATCACCAGGACGACAGAGGATGTCCTTCTGGATACGGACTGCAAGTAAGTGAATTTATCTATATCTTTAAGTATCACTATTGTGGCAGTGGAAAATGAAAGATCAGATAATTAAGATAATTAAATATCACTATTGTGGCAGTGGAAAATGAAAGATCAGATAATTAAATATTTATAATAAAATTCATCCAGAATGAGTATTTTTTGTTAGCAAAGACACAGCTAATAGAATGTGGCTAGTCATTAAGCATGCATATGTTTCTACATCTAAGTTTGATTTATAATAATTGAACATGAGTAGATAGTATGGATGCTATTGTCAGGCTGACCTAGCAAGCTGGGTACTAATAGGGATTACTTGCATGCACAATGTTTGACAGGTACAATAGCAACACATACCATCTGCTAGCTTTCTGATATCATCTCGTATAAAATCCATTATGAAATATTATTACATATTCTAATAGTTTCTAGGTATCTTGTTAAACTGGTTGTAGTTTTTTGTTAGTAGCATTATCTTTGGTTTATTCACACATAATGCTATCACATTTTGCTTTCTTGATATTGTACCTGATAAGATACATCACAAAGAACTATTGAAATTTTTAGGTTAGCTTGATTTATTTGGGAAGGATATTAGAATAATCTAGGACTTAAACGGGGAGCAAACTTCATGCATATTGATAGAAAATGAATTCAGTAAATATGCAAAATTAGAAAGGGATGTAAGACAATGATGTGTCTTCCACCAGATTTATTCAACCTCAGTGTCATAGCTAGAGTGTGTGCTGCTCAGGACAGCTTTGAGTTTGTTGGCACTCACCATATAATTCATATATAAAATAAAATACAATAAACTGCACAGTGACACATAGATATATATATATATATATATATATATATATATATATATGAAAAATTATAACATAAATATGTTATAAAATCACTATAAAAAATAGCCATTTTGTTTCAAAACTACTGGTGTCTTATAAAAAAATATTTTTGATGGTGTTGAATGTAGAATAAAGGGTTTTAAAAAGTTCAAATCAATCAAACAATCAAGAGGGGAAACACTGTTACATAAGCTGGAATGACCAATCAAAATACAAGTAGATGAGAATTCAAAAAACTTGACAACGGACTTTAAGGTTATAATAATTATTTAATGCTTTAATATTAGGGTTAGACTAAAATAGAATTCATTCTAACTAATAAATATTAAATTATACTATAAAATTTAAAATTAAAAATTACCAATTTTAAAATTTAATCTATATTAAGTTTAAAATTATAAAATTATTTAAAGAAACTGAGGAAAAAAAAATACATATGTTTTTCTATTTATTTTGTTTTTGTTGAAATTAATTTGGAATAAATGTTAAGATCAAATGTTGCTCTGAATTTCATGACAATTAGATACATTCTTTTCTACAGACAAAGTTTTTAAAAAAGCATCGTTACAAACATATTTTGCTAACACATATATAAATAGGATATATATATATATATATGAAAACATACACATTTACAATATATATACATACAATGTATATTTCTTGAATATATGTTTATTTTCTAAAAAATTTTATATATAAAAATTAAAATGGAAAAAAAAAAAAAATAAAATATATAAACCAATATATATATATATATATATATATATATATAGATATATATACTGAATATAATTTGGAAACAAATGGGAAAATTTCAAAAATATAAAAAAATGTTCTTTAAGAAATGATTTAAAGAAAAAATTTAATTGAAAACATTTAAAAAAAAAAAGAAATGATTAAAGATTATAATATAGAATAATATATGTATGATGTTTAAATTTATTTGAAGAAATAGTCAAAAATAAATATATATAAAAGAAGTAATAATGGAGGAAAGACATATAAACAAAAAATAATAACATCAAAATATATAAATATTTTCTATGAAAATTGTTGATATTCAGTTAAAGAAAAATTATCCCAGTTATTTAACTGTTCAAATTAAAAACAGAGCATTTACTTTTAATTATTTTTATCTATAAAAAAGAATGTTACATAAATATAATTTTAATATAAAAAAATATATATATATATATATATATATTTGTCAAAGGTAAGCTTTTCTGTGTTAAAATAATGTAGTGAAGAATGTGTGTACACGTATTTTTGTATGTATTTTTTCTTTTCTTTCACATATTGTTATATTTTTGTACTTGTGTATGTGCACTAGTGTGTATATAGGTATATATGAAATATTTATATATATTTGTGTATTAGGAGTTTTCTTTTTTATATATTAGAAGGTGTTATTCTTATGCGTATATATCTATTTTTCTGTCCATGTCTATACGTTTTAGTGTTGTTTTTCCCTAATGTTTGTTTTTTCTGTTCTGCCTATGTTGATTTTTCTATTGTACCATTTTTATCTATACATCTTTGCCTGTATAAGTTATATTTTAATAAGCAGTTAGAATTCGTTTAATAACACTTTCAAACTTGAATACTTCTTGGTGGGTGTATCGGCGTATCTTTGTCAATGTATGTGTGTATATGTACATGTCTTTGTCGCATTGTCTGTGTGTATGGTCACTTGTGTGTACCTTCATTGTGTATGTATGTTTTTTTTTTTTTCGTGGAGATATTTCCTGTCACATTGCTTTTTTGCGTGCTTATCTATCTAAATATGTCTGCGTGTTTATGTATTATAATCTGCTTGTGTATGTATTGTCTTTTGCAAGATTTCATCCTCCCCTTGCCTACATTTTGCTTCAAATGTAATACGTTGTTATGAAGTTCAGAGCAACATTTGATCTTAACGTTTATTCCAACTTAATTTCAATAAAAATAAAACAAAAATAAAAAACATATATTTTTTTTTTCCTCAGTTTCTTCTTTAAATAATTTTAAACTTAATATAGATTAAATTTAAAATTGGTAATTTTTAATTTTAAATTTTATCGTATAATTTAATATTTATTAGTTAGAATGAATTCTATTTTAGTCTAACCCCTACATTAAAGCATTAAATAATTATTATAACCTTAGTCCATTGTCAAGTTTTTTGAATTCTCATCTACTTGTATTTTGATTGGTCATTCCAGCTTATGTAACAGCGTTTCCCCTAACGAGGGATGTTTGATTGATTTGAACTTTTTAAAACCCTTTATTCTACATTCAACACCATCACTTGATAAGACACCAGTAGTGTTGAAACAAAATGGCTATTTTTGTAGTGATTTGACAACATTTATGTTATAATTTTCAAATAAATAATTATATTTGCTCTACTCTGTACTGAGCACTCTTTTAAGAATAGTATTTCTTGGTTATTTGAATTTATTCCATATACATCAATCCTATATTTGTGTGTGTATATATATATATATATATATATATATATATATATATATATATATATACAAATATTAACAGTGTAAAAGAGAAAAAAATAGAGAATAACATACCATCAAACAAATTTCTGTCAAGGAAAATAACTGAAATTTATATGATAACAACCAAGGTGTGTCTCCCAGATACAGTGGTGCTGCAACATTAAAAGAATGTACCCTGAGACTGTTCATACATTCCACATTGTCAACAATGTTAAAATAGCCTTTAATACATAACTGGATAATTCTTCTTGTTCAGCCAAGATAACACTTGCTTAAATACATATGTTATATTTAAATTACTTGAAATTAAAAAGGTCTTTCAACTGTGAGTAGTGCCCTGATATTAAAACCACTTTTATTTCAACACAGCCTATACAGGCTTATACAACAGACCCAAAAATACTAGCCTGTAAAAGTATCACCCAAGGTGGACTGCCCCCTCCCCTCTAGCTATGCTACTATTAAACCTTTACAGTGAGGTAATTCTGAGAGAAATAGAAGTCCTACCAGGATTCATTATTGGCAACCACAATCTTAGCAACATTAGATATGCACATGACACAGTGTTGATAGCAGAAACAGAAAGGAAAATACAAGAATGCCTATAGAAGTTAGTAAAAGAAAGTAAGAAGAAAGAACTAAACATCAGTTGTAAGAAGGTAGAATGTATGGTTGTCAGCAAAAAGAAGAGTCCAACATGCAAATGCCAAATTTAAGCAATTACAAAAATTTAAACATCTAAGTGTTTTAACAGATGGAATATGTGACATTGAAATCAGAAAGTGTGTTGGGATAGCAGAAAAGATGCCTTCCAAAGGCTAAGCAAAGTATTAAGAAACAGAAAAATAATTTTAGAAACAAAGAAAAGTGTACTTAACTATTATGTAATATTAGTCTACCTATATAGCAGCAAATCCTGGACAATCTTGTCACAGATGAAGAAGAGATTTGAGGCAACAAAAATGTGGTTCTACAGAAGGATGCAGGGAATACATATCTTGAAAAAGATGATTGTTTTTGATATTGTTATTTTATATCTGTTGTATATCATAATTGATTGAAGATGGTTGACATTTTATCTTTTCTTTCCAGAAGCATCACAAAGTTAGAGAAGAGGGACATTCATCTCGACGAGAAAATTATTCCAAACCATATCAACGCCAAGATGACTCCACTCGCAATAGGACCAGCTCTGAGCCTACTTCAAAATATTCTAAAGAAAGATTTAGCACTTTTCATTCACATCATAGTAAACGTAGTTCTAGACCGCATTCACAAAGCCGATCACCACAGCATTCACGGAGTAGATCCCCACAATCAAGGTAATTTCACATTTTGTCTTTTTCAAAGCAGGATATTCTTTTTGTTTATTAGATTCTCTTGTTACATGTCATGGCTCAATGGTTTAAAATTGAGGGCTTTTCAAATTTCAAGATCATAGACAAGAAACAATTATTTAAAGATAATTTATACCTTTCAGATATTGATTGATTTGTTTTTTATGACTTATCCACCTTTTTGAGGTTATTTAAAGCTGAAGCATATTTTGGGATTGTAAGAATTTTTGAAAGATAATGATTTTCTGATACAAGTCTTAATATTTAATCCATAGCTTGGAGGAGAAAATTGATATTATAATGAAGTTTTAATTTTAATTAACTTTATGATTCAAATCTTACTGATAACATTTTTTTCCATTTTGTTTTTATCTTTAAACAAGAAAATCTTTTTCTGAAAATTTTTGTTTGAGAAATTTTTTTCAAAGTTTAAACTTATTTCGGCATAGGCATTCATTGTTTCAGATTTTTTTTTTTTTTTTTAATCATTTCAATGCAAGCAAGACAATAAAGCCACTAAAATGGGGTTACTGAGACTGAAAGTGTCTGAGAAAAAACATCAAGAAGAGAGGATAATAAAAGAACAGGTTTTGAGGAGACAAAAGACGACAATTTACATTGCATTTAAATATTTTAAGATCAAAGTTGACTGGAAATCAAGAAGTTGGAAGAGAGTTCTAGATGAGAAGTGCTAGAGAAGAAACTGTTAGCATAGAACTTATGGTTACATCTAGCTATTTCAACTGTAAATGATGACAACTATCTGCTAATCTAGTACTGCGCTTAAATTCAGTAAAGTTGAGGTACCAAAGAGGAAAGCTCATCAGAACATTTACCATGAAAATATTTATAGAAAAGGTGCAGGGAAATTGCATTACTGTGGTGGGAAAATGACTGTAGCTTAGATGCCAGGTCAATACGGGTAACATTGCAGAGTCTTCTTGGGATTTTGTGAAGAATCTCTATATACATAGCAAAAGCAGACCAGATGTCTCCCAAGAGAAATTCCTTGTTATATAATCATATCAATTGTATCTTTCTTATTGTTTTATTAGTAACTCTGGAAAACTAAAAGAGACTGAACGAGAGAAGAAACTTAGAGAGATGATGGAAAATGCCAAATGGAGGAATGAAGTTCGACAGAAAAACATGAAAAATTATGAAGACGAATGTGCCAAAGAGAAAAATGCACAAAAAGGGAGCAGCTCAGATTTTTTAAAGTAAGTCAATTCAGTTTTATCCATTTTTTTTTTGTTAACTATTGCAAAAATGACATTGTTTTTTTTGTTTTTTTTTTAAATGTCTTGTGAACAGAAAAAAAAGAAAAGCAAATTCTGTCATTCTGGGAAATACTCAACTGGCAAAAACATTGATTTAAAAATTAACTGATTTTATGTTCATTCTCAATTGCTGAACAGTCATGCATGCAAAAAAATAAATGATTTTTTTTGAGTCACTTAGTGTGCGTACATTTTTTTTGTTTTTGGAATAGTTAACAAAAACATTTTCTTTTTGTAAACTATTTTTTAACATTGGCAAGTTGTATGTCATGTATATAAAATATATAATAATGTTCATTACAAGATGGAAAAGTGAATCCCCACATAAAGTTAATGCATTTTTGAGAGATTAGACAACTGATAATTTTTTTTTTTAAGTTTCATCAAAAGCAAGAAAAATTAGAAAATTTGCAGAGAATTGTTAATATCAATTAATTTTTTTTTGGATTCATGGATATTCCTACAGTAACAAAAATCATTACTATGACTTCTGAACTTGAAATATTTTGCAATATAATTTAGATAAAGAGTTTTTTTGATGTGGAAAATATTGTCCAAAATCTAAAGTTATTTTTCTGGGAGCACCAGTTTTCAAACTCTGCAGGGGTCGGTTGGATTGGGATTTTAAGCTAGTAATTCAAACAGATTTGATTGGATTTGAAATTGATTTTAGGGATGAGATTTGATTGGAATTGGGGCATTGCTAACTGAAACTTGTCCCCTTGTCCCTTTGTGAAAAGTATGGAAAAATTTTTTCATGACTAATTTTTGTTGCTTAAAAATAAATGTTTTGTCAGAACATATTTATTCAGATTTGAAAGAGAAAAATAATTCCTAATGATAAATAGAAGAAAAAGCAAGAGTCTGCAGTTCAGTTATCAGTGATGTGAACATTATTCAACTTTGACATTTGAAAATAAAAACAAAATCCTTCAAATTTTACAACTTTAATTTTTTATTTTATTTTAGGAGCAGCAAAAAGAGTGGATTATCACTCCTTTGCTCCTATTGTAAAAAAAAAAGAAGGAATCCAGTGCTCTTTGGTTCCAACAAAAAGGAGCATGCTCCTGGACCATGCTCATTTCAGGAGGGATCCTTTAAGCCATGGTAATGTGCATACATGTGTAGTGACAAATGTTTTACAGTAAGTGATTTCCAACAACCATACAAAAAAACCTGATGTCTAAATCAGTGTTTCTAAAACTTTTTTGGCAATAACATATTAAACAATGTTTTTTTTTTTTTCATTTTTGGTTTAATGATTTTCAGAGCCAAAACAATTTTTCAGTGTCTCTTTATTTAGTTTTACTTACTTGTTTGTACACAACTAAAATAGGAAAAACAACATAGGTTTTGCTGTTAGACAATGTATGTGCATGATTTGCCACATGCCTGGCTGAAATTAAGACAGTCTGCACCCGGGTAGGGGATACAAAATCATCACTGGTTATAGAAGTTATAGAAAATACTACTGGAAATAAATGACTATAAAGCTGATTTTTTTAATTTATTTGTGTACCACCATTTTTACAAAAAGTAAAATATAAATCACCACACAATAAACTTCCATAAAAAAAGTAAGTCCAATTGAACTAATGTCTACACTTGTTTGAAAATAACATTAAGCATAAGTTAGTTCATAAGAAAAACACCAACATTTCAATGGTTCACTTTTCCATGTTGTAATGAATATTTCATTGACTTGAAGTCTACCATGCTTTATATTAAACTGTAAATTTTGATGAAACAAAAAAACTGGAAAAGTTTCAAATCTGTTCAAAATGCATTAAGTTTATATGGAAGTAGGGAGAAATATAGACTTAAACAGTTTTCTGTTAACAAGAGCCAAGAATGTTCTTACACCCCACCTAATGATTTGCTTTTCCTTCTTGTAACAAACATTTCATGGTGTCTTGAAAATGTGTGTGTGTGTATGCATGCATGCATATATATATATATATATATATATATATATATATATATATATATATATATATATATAGTGTGTGTCAATAGTAGGCAATGTAAGTTTCATAAAGCAGTGGAAGTGTTAATAACTTTAAGTCAAAGACATTGAACCTATAGTGCATTGCTCTGGTGTCTAATCATTGTAGTACTGGTAAACAGTTGTGCCTATACCTTAATTTTAGGAGTAATAATAATAATAATAATAATAATGATGAAGTCAACTGTAGTTGAAATCATAGTCATTGTAAGCTCCACAATCCTTTCCTTAGCTACATAGTACTTTGAATTCAGATTTTTCTTTCTAGACTGGTTTCCAACCAAGCCTTCAGAACCCAGACTGCCCTAATATTTAGTTCATAGTTGGTGGTTTGGAAATTAGTGTTGTCCTTCTCCTCTAGACTGATTGTAACCCAAGGCTATAGGACACACACATTCTGTGCTTCTATTTAGCTATAACTGGGGGGGATGGATATTTGCATGTAAGTGAATTTAACAAACTCAAATGGAATTTGAACTTGCCTTTCCAAATCTGAGTCGCTAACCATTACTCCACTGTGAAGGTACAATGGAGTTATGAAATAGGTTAAAATATAGTCTTCAGTATTGTCTTGTTCTGTATCCTTAGGAATATGGTAAATCTAATGACTACACCTTTTGTTTACATACTTATATAAATATGTGACACTATTTAGCTATAGTAATTGGCTAACTAATTAACCATAGAAATTAAAAACGGGAAATACTTAAGGCGAGAAAGAGCTATATCAAAAGATAGACTGAGTGACATTAAAAAGAAGAATTTATTTTATTTACAAAAGAAAGATACTTTTCGCAAAAGACAGAAAATCCGTAAGAAAAAGCGAGACTGTGATTCTGTCAAAATCAATTAATATAATAAGGGAGTGACGTGCCAAACAAAACAGAATTCTGAAAGAAAAACAAAGCCAACCAACGCATGCGACCATAAAAAGAATTTTGGCATGAGAATAGATATTATCTTTCAGAGATACCATTTAACTTTAATTCCTGGTTCCAGCGAAGGAAACCATCTGGTATATGCCCGAATCTTGACATGAGAAGGAAAATCAAAAAGGGAATCATTATTATTGCTTATTCAAACTGTTGACGGCAGACATAACGTCTCGAAAATGAGCATCTGGTGATAAGAGAAAAATAAAGAATTTAATTATCAGGTAAACACAACCACCCAGTTAAAAGTTAACTAGCAGAGGACCCAGGTGTCGGGATTTGACAGTGATTAATGAGTCAGTAGAGGTCTGGGCTAAATAGATTTGGGTGTCCTCAAAAAAATGTGATAAGAATTATTCGGCAATCTGGGACTTGTAAATGTCTTAGGAAAAAGAAAAAAAAGGATTTTGTAAACAAAATTCTGGATAGTAATTCTAAGAGGGCCAGTCTAGCCACACTCACACTGCTGAGAGATCATTGGCCAACTGGTAGCATGGGTGATAGGCGGAGGTGAATGTATGAGAAAGATGAAGTTGTTAACACCCACTGAGGGGATTGGTATGAGATACTAATGTGAGAGAGGAAGAGTCTAGGAGGATAACTCTCCTCTGACCTTCCCTCACAGACAAAGAAGAAACCCCCGAAATGGAAAGTGATTAATCTTCCAAAAATGGGAAGTAATTAATTTTCCTGGCCTAAGAACAAAGAGAATTTTTATTGGGAATTAGGAATTGTCAAGAAACCCAAACCATGTCAGGCTCCCACACCAGAGTTGGTTGATGTCCATATAAACGAATGTCTTGAGGCAGTTAGACAGTTCGGATTTGCAGTCAGTTCCAGGCAGTCCGAGTTTGGAGTTAGTTCGAGAAGTTGGAGAGTGTTGCCTCACAGAAGCTGACCGAAAGATTTCCACATCCTCTCGACTTAGTCTTCCTACCAAAAGCAAGTTTTTATTGACAAACGACTTAAGATACCATAACTCGCTTAAGAAACGCAAAAAGTGTCACGAATCCATAGAAACGGGCTGGGAGAGAAACACACTCCTGTATTCAACAGATAGATAAATATAATTGTTGTTTCTCAACATATTTGAACCTCTTGAGTTGTTTTATTAGTTTTTTTACTTACGCTTGTGCAGTATCACCTTTACCCCGGATTCAGCTTGCACTACGGCCCAACTACCTAAAATCAAAATCACAACGTGGGTAGGTTAGACTTGTGATCAAAGCAGTTACTTCAGTGACCAGGCCTTGGAGGCGAGCTGAGAACGACAAAGCTGGTATTGAACCGGGAACGACCAGATCGACCGGGACACAGGCTGGTGGCAGCGACAAAGAGTCAACCCCAAAACGCTGGTGGAAGAAACCTTACAGCTTCGCGTCGCAAATGTGAGTTGACCACAGGCCGACGGCACAGTGTCATATATTGATGTCGCAACCAGTGGACGTCACATATTGGCGCTGGACTGCGACCGTGACCACTGGTGGGTGTCACAAATAATTTGAAACCTTTTTGCATTAAAACATTAATCAATTTCTGTCAGACATACATATTATTGCCACTTTGTGTGTACAACAAGGATCTATTTGCAAGCAAGGCTGGAATATTAAAAAGAATTACACAGCCTGATATGTAAGTAGAATAAGGTTGTTCATATGAGCAACTTCGTACTGGCCATTTGCTGCTCTTCATGTTTTGTTATATTGACAGTTCTGAAATAGTGAAATTTACAGGGATAGTATATTGGCAAGGAGTTAAGTCTTGGGGTTCAACAGTTGAGGCATAATTTGAGTGTTTAGTTTTAAGTAATAATACGCAAAAGACATTTATTGATGAAACAAGCCCATCCAAAAATGAATTTTTAAATTTCAGATCTTATTGAATTTTATTGACATTATATTTTTTCTGTGTCATTTAATTTACAAGTCATAATTTGTTTCTGAAAGAGGATTTTTCTCTTTATAAAATCCATGGAAATTTCTTTATTTCTTTATTATACTGCT